AAAAAGCAATAAAAAAATAAAAAATATATTAATAATTAAATTTCTCATAGAAACACAAAATGAACACGTCATTTATCCAACAAAATGAAACACAAATGTAATAAAATAATGGAATATGAATTCCGTGACATAATGAAAATTGCACGTTCTCTCTATTCAGTTCAGACTTCAGAGCAACAATAATCATACTCCTTCGAGCCAAGACAAGACAAGGTACATTACACGAACCCACAAACATAAATTGGCTGAATTTTCAAAATTTCTATTCTTATTAAGAATTTGGCAGATGTAACTGAAAGGGCCGTTGAGAAATATGGTAATTTATACATTGGGAGAATGATAAAGATGATGTAATGTTCGTCTTCTTACATAACAAAGTTTGTCCCAACTCTACGCTTTTAGGGGTACTTGTGCTTGCTTAATGCTTAACAGTACCATTGTGCGAAGATATGCAAAGTACAAAAATATAGTTATTGTGAATGTACATAAGTTAACCAATGAAAAAAATGGCTCCTGCTTTTCGAGGTAACTAAGCAGGAAAAACATTGGAGAACTACAACAATTGCCCTGCGCCACAACAAAGAATGGATATAGCAAAAAACTACATCAGACGAAATTGGACACAACTAAAACTAGAAAGCATAGAAATTCACTAAGATTGCTTTTGGGTGGGCCTAAATATGAGATGGCTATACTTTTTCAACATATATACATAATTTAAAAAACGAAATGTCATATTCTAGACAATAATCCAAAAAACAGTATGTAATCTTAGAGCATTAGGGTGTGTTTGTATATAAAATAACTCAATTCATACTCAATCCATATTCAAAATCTAACTCAACTTTAACTCAACCTCACTATCCTCACTATTATCAATATTATTAAATAATATCAATCAATCATTTTTTACACTTCACATCAACTTTAATTCCCTATTCGTCCACTCGCATAATTTTAACTAATCATCATTTCACATAATCTCTCCTACTTTTACATCAAATCAACTTTAATTATTTTATTTTAAATATTATTTTAACATAAACTTAAAATCCACTAACAACAAATCATACCACATTTTTCAAACATTAATCATGCTTAACCAAAAAAAACTCGTTTTAAGTGGATATATTTGTATCCAAGCACGCCATTAAGTATGCGCATTTTTTGTTAAAAATGTGTGACGGGCCAACTTGCCCAACCGTTAAGCCACCTCACACAAGAATTCGTACGAAAAATTTATAGTGAAACAAAAGAAACATAAAAGTAAAAAAGGGGACTTTCATTATTAGTAACCATCAAAACATATTTCATGCAAAGTTAAGAGAATAAGAAGGATTTTTATTTTCACCTTAATCTCAAAGGGTGTATATGAAGTTCAAAGTCAAGTAAATGCGAAAATCCTATCTGCAATCTTTGTTCTGCAAATTGGACACTCCGTACAGGCAAGGGAACATGTCTTACATACTGCAAGCAGTGAAACAATACTACATCAGGTTGAGCTCGAGANAAAAAAAGAGAGAGAGAGAGAGAGAAGGAAAAAAAGAACTTCAATAAAAAAATGTAACTTACAGCTAAAATGTCGACATGGCAGAAGCATTGCAGCTGTAGGTGATTCAAAACACACTTTACAGACATGAGAATTTGTATCTCCATTCCCAGTGTATTTACGTTCTTTCTCTTTCATCTCCTGCATTCGAGCCTAAATGAACTCAAAACAATGAGATCACAAGTTAGACCTCATAACATTACTGATTGGGAATACTATCACAAAATTTATAAGTTCAATTCAAACAACTGTAACATTTAAAACAGTTTAGCAACACTTGGACATCTGCTTAAGCTTGTAAGAGACCTAAGAGTGACCATCAGTAAGGAATCTAAATTGATCGATAATCACAAGTAATCGGTTATCGTAAAATTTTAGAAAGTTTTAAGATTGACACTGATGGACTGTTTGCAAAATATTCTGCTCTCACAGGATCACTAATATAAGGTGGTTTAGAGTCGGAAACTTGTAGCATTGGCAAATAAAACATATAACTTGGATATAAGTTGATGAATATATGGTTAGTAACCTATAATATGGCTTTCGTTATGCCTTAAAGTCAATCTAAATGCAAAAAATGGAAAGTATAGTTTCCGATACAACTTAAGGTTCGAGTTAAATTGTGCTAGAGGCTGTGGTAGAAGTTCAGAATTTGAAAAACGTACGTTAGAAAAATAAATAAGAATGCACATTATTCCTATGTTTAGTAACCAAATAAGCTACCTTATAGCTTATATGGCTAGCTTAAAAAGCTTCCTGTATTCAAATAAACTTCGTTTGGCAGGACGAGCTTTTTTAAAAAGCTCGAGCTTATCTCATAAGCTTCTTCTTTGAGTAGCTTTTCAAATAAGCTCGTTGAAATCTTTATTTCAGCTAGCTAATTTTTCCAAATACTTTTATCATATAAGCTAGTTTTTCAGCTATAAGTCATAAGATAGAAGTTATAAGCTCGCAAATCACTTATAAGCTATCAGATAGCTTATCTAGTTTTACCAAACATAGGCATAAGCTTCTTTGGGTAACTTTTCAAATAATTTCGTTGCAAATTTTTATTTCAGCTAGATTATTACTAATTTTACCAAACAGTTTTATAATATAGGCTAGTTTTTCAGCTATAAGTCATAAGATATAAGCTCGAAAATCACTTATAAGCTATATAAGCTAGCTTATCAACTAGCAGTTAGTTTTACCATAGCCTATAGAATAATAACTCACTTTCAAGCGCACGACGAGAGGTTCTTCTTTGGGAACAATAGGAACCGGATTATCTCGACTCTGACAATCTTCAACAATCAAATCCTTGCAATCAATGTCACCACCAATCTTCATCACATCACTCGTCTGATCAGCATCATCTTCATTCACCCTACCATTATTTTCCCTCAATTCCTTCACAACACTCGCTTCTTTCTTCAGCCGAGCAACAAGCACCCACATGTTCGCCAGGTCATTCTCCAAAGCAGCCTCCCTTTTCTTCGACTCCTCGAACTTTTTCCTATACTCATCCTCCAAAATTTCCTTCTCCGCCAATGAGGCCTCTAGAGCAGCTTCCCTTTGTTTTCTAGCTTGCAGCTCCATTTTCAGGTCATCTGGATCGAGACTCCACGACTCAAAATCACTCGAGAGGTCATTTGCTCGTCCAGAAAGCCGAGCTCTTATACGATTGGTCCTTTGAGCATCGTTATTTTTTCGGTTTGTGTTAGAAGATCGAGAGCTCAACTCGCGAGCAGCTTGTAATTCTTTTTCTAATTTAGCGTTTTGAAATGAGAGCTTGGTGACCTCACCGGCTAAGTTCTTTAGCTCGACGGCTGCCGCGGATGCTAGTTCTTTTGCGTAAGAAGCTTCTTCGGATAGCTTTTGATTCTGTACGTGCAATCCACTATTCTCTTCTAGAATCTGGACATGCTCCAGTTTGAGCTTCTCGTTTTCGAGTTCCTGCAAATGGAGGAGAAGCAGCTTTTTCTATCATGGTAAAGTACCAAAAACTCAAAACCTATAGCTTGTTAGTGTGACAACATGTCAAAATCATATGATGACAACAGATATTATAACTGCATGGAACAAGCAGTGAGGATAAGCTGTGATGTTACATATATAAAAGTGAAAAATCTAAATTAAGGGAGTGTTTGTTTATAAATATTGCAATCCATACTCAAAATCTAACTCAACTTTAACCAACCCTATTATCCTCTATATTATCAATATAATTAAATAATACCAATCAGTCGTTCTTACACATTACATCAACTTTAATTCACTATTAATCCACTCACATAATTTTAACTAACCATCACTTCAGATCATCTCTCTCCTACTTTGCTCCTTTCTCTTTTGCTCCAATCTCTTCGTTTTGTTTTGAGCCATTTTTGTGTTTCTCTTACCATTGGTTCTCTTGGGTTTCATCTCTAGTCTACCCCAACTTGCTTGGGATTAAAAGACTATGTTGTTGTTGTTGTATTATTTTAATATAAACTCAAAATCCCACTAACAACTAACCATACCACCTTTTTCAAAATTAACCCTAATTAACAAAAAAAAATCGTTTCGAGCGGATATATTTGTATCCAAGTACGCCCTAAGAATCCCGGTGAAAAAAGATACAAGAAGATGCAAATGTTTGCCAGATTTATGCACATTGTCATGTAACCGATGAAATGACTAGAAATTTTCAATTCAATTGCATAGCCCCAAAATTTTGAGAAAGACGAATCATTTCCTCATAATGAGCCATCACCGGAAGATGAATCACAATAGCATTACATAACAGCAAGAAGTGTGGAGTATGAAGGAAGGTTTTCCTTCATGTATTGAAAATGTCTATTTTCACAAAATTTTGCTATTCAAGGTAAATAAAGAAAAAAGCATTACCAGAAGAAATCTAGATAAAGACTTGCCTGTGACTGAATTCTCTTTCGCAATTCTTCAGTAAATTCATCGGTTACATGATTTTCAGGAAATGATCTATTGTCACTGGAGACTGAAGCTAGTTCTTGCTCCAGCCGGTTAATTTTCTCTTCCAATTCTTTATTTTCTGCACACTATAAGAAAAAGAAGAACAACCACTTTATATGCACAAGAGTATGACAAAAACCTGAAACTTATAAAATACAAAACCATTGTCCTAATTTAGACACTGTTCTTTTCTCTTTTTTCGATAATGCTGGCAAAAATAGATTGATTTTTTTATTTACAAAAAATAGTCATAAGCTAACCTTATTCTGAAGCTGTTCTTGAAGCACCCGATTGTCCGCAGATTTAATCTAAGTAAATAGTAAAGCCAATTTAGTCAATGCTTCAAGACAATGCAAATATGTTCAAAAAATTAACCATGGAAAAAGAAGATTAAGAACCTCAAGCTCAAAGCCCTTCTCACTGCACTGTGCTTTCAACTTCATGACTGTCTGTTGCAAGAAAAAGAAATTCCAATCAACAAATAATACTTGGGCTACTTTCAGATAAGAAGCAGTGACAAACACAAATTCACTATGAATAAAAGAACCTGCTGCAATTCAACCACAGATGCATTAGCAACTGAAGCTTCACCACTCTCTACTATACGCTGTTCTAAAGCTCTCATCTGCTTTCGTTTTTCTTGGATTTCACGCTCCAAGTTCTGTATCTGCGCATTTGGATGTAAAGTATTTTTAAATTCAACAACTTGTTATCAGTAATTTCAGCAAGTTACATCGTGGCAGTTAGAAATATAAACCTGTTTCAATATTCATCTTAGATTACAACTTTAGTTGTTCATGGTTATGAAAAAAAAAATATATATATATATATATATATATATATATATNATGTATATATGCTTTCCTACCGAGAGATACAAATTGCTCTCTGTACATTTGCTAAGAATGAGTCCTACATTAAATTATGTTTCTGGAGCAACAAAATATAGAAAATGAAAGAACCAGTCGCATGTGGTTATAATAAGGAAATATTTAAGATCTGGAAGAACTTTTATGATTTTCTTACACTGAGAAAAATACAGTAATAATCAAATAAATGGGAATTTTGACTTTCAGGCAAGAGCCAGAAAAATTTATAATCTCTTAAAACGAAATTCCATTTTACCTCCTCAGTTCTTGAGTTTTCAGGATCATTCACAGACTGCTCCAGCAGGCGCTTTAGTGTGCTGGTACCAAATGCAATCTCTCCAGCAAGCATCTTCACTTGCTCAACAAGGAGATCCATATGATCTGAGACAGTCACTTCTTCCTACAATTCATGAACAAAAGTAACAAAAGGAGTTATTCATAATAGTCAAAAGAACAATAGTCCAAAATCTAAACCTGAATTCAAGAGCTGAAATTGACACATTAAAGATATATTCAGAATGACGTACTTCCGCTTCAATATCAAACGCAAATACAGCCAAAAATAATGATGCTTTGACATAGTGTATATTATTGACAGTAACATTAGGCAATGCAGCATGTAGGTTTTCTAAAAAGAAAAGGAATTAGAACATACTATAGGCAGTTTTGATGCACAGAAAGAACCACTAAAAAGTTCACCCGCTTGAGTTGTTTCAGTTATAGTACTGCCAGCTTGGGAAATATCATCATTCCATTTGCTGTATGATCTTCTAAGTTTAAAATGATAAGCATCTGATGCAATAGTTATAGCAGAAGATGAAGAAGAATCTTTTTGATTATCGCCATCAAGTTTTAGAGAACCATCACGTAGAACATCCAATTTCTGTTAGACAAAAGAAGATGAAATGGTGAAGGCCACACAAAATTCTTTTTTCTTTCATATACATTTTAGATCACATGGAAGCTCCAATGTGTACATATCTAGAAAGGCTGGAGATAATTTAATAAACCGATATATAAACCAGAATCTCATAGTTCAATCATTTTGAGGAAAATCATTATATATGAAAGAATGTGAAACCAAGATGCATATATTTTACCAGATTCAGAAAGACAGTAGAGACTAGGATTCAATTGGCTATGAATTTGGCTATATTAAATTGTGCAATGCAGTTGTCCTATGTGAAGGAAAAATGTGCAAGTGAAGTTTTTCTAAACACGCACAAAAATTCAAGTCAACCAGAGGAAGCTACTTACATCATCCTCGGAAGCAGAATGACTCCTTTGGTGAGAGGGCATGTCGCTCAAGCTTCCTGGTATTGTGTTTTTTGATGACACAAGAATTAACTTTGTTAGCCTCTGAATTCTGCTCATTAAAGCTGATTTAGCTTCTTCTTCCTCCTCCAATCTTGATTGCATTTTGACTTGTCCTTCTTCCAACTAATACAATGAGCAATAAGCCACCCAATCAACAAAAGTTTTCATCGCAATGAGGCAGCGAAGTAAATTATGAGTCAAGGAAAATGCATCAACTTTTACATAGCTATACTCCAAAAGTTATCAATATCCAAGATTCCTCAAATGGATTCGAAGATACCTTCTGTCGCAAAACCATAATTTCTTCATGATTAACACCAACAAGCATTCCCCTCTTAAGTTGATCAAGTTCGTCTTTTAGTGATGATATTTCTCGTTGATACTTTTTGATCAACGATTTTTCATCAATTATCTGAAACAGTCATAAGGAGTCGTGTCATCAATGACCACCACACTGAAATAGGAATCAAACCCAAAGCTTCACACACACAAACTTACCCTATTACGTGAAGCGTATATTTCAACACGCTTCGCCCTGCTCGCAAATTTTAACGTGTTATGGGTTTCTTCCATATTACTTGATGCAGGAGTGATCGTACAGATAAGCTGGGTCAAATATATACAACAAACAGAAGCCTTTCAATAAAACTTAATTAAGGCACCACAAACGTTTACTGGAGCAGCATACCGTACTAATAATAGAATTCCAAACAAGCCAATAACACGCAGAAAAATATAAATGTAATGCAAAATTGAAGATCAACTAACGTAACAATTAGGTCCCATGAAAAAGGAACACCAAATGAGCATGAAAATCAACAAAAAAATGGCATAGTTTAATTTGGGATTCAACATAAATAAACTATAAGAATGTGGCTTACCGAAACATGCCCATGCCCACTCAATGAAGATTGTAAAAGACGAGTAAGCTTTGAGTCCCGATAAGGAACATGTGATGCTTTCCCTTCACTAAGTTTCCCAATCACCTTTATATCAAGTAAATCCAAATGTAAGTTTCCCAATCACCTTTATATCAAGTAAATCCAAATGTCAGTGTGGAAAAGCAAATAGAAACAGAAATAATATCTGAAGGTATAGAAAAACATTTCAGATAAGATATCATGCTGATTTGTGAGTAAAAATGTGTTTTTTTNGAAGAAAATTGTGCAAACAAAAAAAGCATGCAAAGGAAGAGGAAGAAAACTATGCAAACAAAAAAAGGATGCAAAGGAAGAGATGGATAAGGATAGATTAGAAACGAAAAAGAATTCAAGTGAAGTATATATACTCACAGTTCCAAGTGTAAGAAGACTTTTGTTGATGTAGGATCCTTCTTTTCTCCTTAACCCAGTTGTTTCAGTTTTTGAGCTCTCCGATCCAGCCAAATCGATTAAATTCTATAAAAAAGCCTAATTTAGGTTGAAGTCCAATTACAAAATTGGGACATATTACATTTATACATATTAACAATAAACAATATTTTCATATTCTAGATATTCTAGACAATATCTAATATGCGTACCAACTGTGAGAATATAACCCCATCGTATTCATCTCCATGTGCACTACTTTCAATCATCTGTATCCAACGAGATAGAAACAAAGTAAGAGCATGAATAGAGAAAGCAGACATAAATAAACAGATGAATATATGAAAAGGCTAATTACTGTCAACCAGGAAAAGTAACGGCCACAAAGATCATAATAATAAAACCGTATACAATGTCACAAAAAAAGCCACAGGAAAAGTCCAAGGAAAAAGCACAAAACTAAAAGTGCCAACTGAATAGAACAATTGTAAATGACAAAATGACCAGAATAAACTTACCAATGTAAATATTGTGTGACTACGGCTGCTGAAGAGGTTAAAGTTATTTGAACCGACATGACGATGCTCTGCAAATTACGTTTGAATGAACATCAATACATTTAGTACCTATGTCAACTAACAAATGTCAAATACAACAAACACACCTCTGATATCCATTAGTATCTATTATATATCCTATATGTATTTTATTAACACCACTGATTATTATTACTTCTGTAATTAAGAAACTCAGACATAAGCCAATAAGCACTTCTTCAAGTTGCAGATAATCCAAAAAGTAACATTATATCAAAAAAAAAAAATAACTTATTTAACACATCAAGGCTTAAATGATGTTTTATTGTTAAATCAGAAAACTAAACCCATATCAAGAAGCAATAATATCTGATGAAATAAATGACTGCATGTGGATACCTTCTCCTGCAGCGATAAATGAAAGTGCGTGTCCAGGTGACAGAACAACTTCTTCCTTTATACCCTCAACATAAGTTCCCTGTTCACATTCCCAAAGGCTAGTAAGACGAGATGACTAAAACAGGAGAATCGAATGGAGTCAGCTGTTGGATGTGAGTTCAACAAATGAAATATTTTAACTGGATAATGAGAAAAATTTCCATCAAATAGACAGTGTTACTCCACATGGTCAATAAAGTATTTTGCACATTTATTGTTTCAATCAAATAGATAGAAGAGGAGAACAATTGAACAAAACTAGAATAGACCAGAACCATGTTGAGAATGTGCAGCTAATAATCTTATGTAATGATGACAGCTAAAAAACAAATTTAAAAAACACAAGAAACTTCAAAACGGAAAAGATAAAGATGGGAGTGGCAAGATAAAAGAAAAAAACCTGTGCGTCTTCTCTAACACGCAAATTCTGGCCAGTTGGATCCAGTAAGTCATTAATCACCTGGTAGCAAGTGTAAGAGAAAATTGAATCGAGGACTTAAATACATATGCTTATAGAATGAAGCCAGCTAAAACGACAGCTCAGCACTCAAGATTAGGTACATATGAGTTCCCTAGCATTAGAATATACAATGCTAAAACTTAAAGGGCAGAATCATAAAATATCTTTTACTGACCTCATTGTAAATCTCGAGATATGATACTCGAAGTAAGAATTCACGACCTGGAGTCTGAAGCAAAAATAAGACCAGTCATCGGTACATCTATTACCCAATTGTTGAATCTCAACATAGTAGAAGTTTGAAGCAGCAAACTTACGTCTTGGATGATGCTGAAAACATCCTTTATGGCCAACGGTATGATGCCCGGAGAAATTTGATCTCCCTGGTAAAATTTGTCATCAAAGGCAATAATTCATCAATGTGCATTACGCAGCTCCCAATTTTACAAGATACCCTATACTAACTTCGGAGCCCAGAAACAGGGCAAACAAATTCAAATGGTACAAAACATTAACCATAATTATGAACATTATGCATATGGTAAAACATATCATAGTCACACGTAAATGATTTGGTAAGACATTCTGGGTCATTACTTTTAGATGTTAGAACCGGAAATACAAGAAAACGACACAACGAGAAATGAACTCACATGCATAGTGTGTGTCTTTCCGCTGCTGGTAACTCCATAAGCAAATACAGTTCCTGCATATCAACTCATGTGGTGAATTAATTTTGAGTAAAAATACGAAATAAAAACCTTGTTACGAAGAATTACTTAAGGATCTCCTTTTTTTTTTTATCTCAAGACAATAACCAACTTGCATTTCTGTTATCGTCATACAAGCAGCAATGTGACGTTCAAAAGCCGCTCATTGCTACTCAAAGTCAAGTATATGAACAGTAACTGAGCTATTGGTTTGGAAAATAACAAAGTGAGCACACTATATCAAGGTGAGATCATACCATTGATACCCTCCATTGCAGCCTTCACTACAGGTCGAGCAGCTACTTCATACACATCTTGAGTATTTGTATTAGGCCCAAACACTTTATCTGTCATCCAAGAAATCAAATATACTTATGGTACCAGCTCAAATTATGTTCTGCTTCAAATAAACAGTGTTCTTCTTCAAATCATGTCATCTGTTTAAATTCCTCAGCAAACTGTAAAACAGGTGAGCAGACATGATAGAACCTTACCAAATGCGTAGGCAGTCATGGGGTTATACTCGTTCCGCACAATTTTGTCGCCATCCGCGTACCAAGCGACCTCATCTCCTCTATGATATTCTCTTTCACTGAAAACACAACATAATAGCTCAAAACAAGTTAAAAAAACCACTCCTAACCCTAGCTTCAATCGACCCCTGTATCAGAAGATCCCAAATGAACAAAACATAGATCTATAACTAGGTCAAAAAACTCACTTCAAAGGCCGAAATCGAATCGTCACTGAAATGCTATCCCCCGATCTAGAACCGCAATCCATGGGCTCTCCGGAAAGCTGGTCTTCCATCGCCGGAAAACTGACCGGAGTCTGACTCCGGGGATAATCTCCTCTATCCTGGCTCGCCGTCATGGATCTAGAGCCGTACCCTTCGCCGCCACTACCGCCGTAAAACGACGCCGCCGAGGTGGAGTTAGAGCGCGGCATTAATCGGCCGTTCTTCAACGACGAGGAAGAAGAAGTTGAGGAGTAAGGGCTCGAAGGTCTTCGGTGATGAAAAGGCGAACTGCTTCTTCCTCTAGAAGATGAGGCCGCCATTACTCCAAATCAAATTCCAAAAAGAAAAAACAAAACAAAACAAAACAAAACAAAAAAATCTCAATCCACTTAATTTTTACACTCTCTCTCTCTTGTAGATCCAGCAAACGTGAATCGAACAATGATTTTTTGAAGAGAAAAAAAAGGTATAAAACAAGAGAAGGTGAGGAATGTGTCAGAAATCACATGGCGAAAAGCAGAAAAGCGATGAACATTGCTTGATCTTTCAACCAAGTTTTGATGACTGATATTTTTTATCAATCAGCTTGAGAAGATTCAATAAATGGTGAGCTCAATCTGCATATGTTCGTGGGTCTTACACACACATACGTGCGTGTCTGTGTGTGTGTGAGGGATTTGAATGAAGCAATAGCTTATTTTTCTTCTACTTTAAGACAAAGATGAGTTGCAGAGAGAGGGGTGGACTAGTGAGAAGCGAGAACGACTGAGAACAGTTTTCGTTTTTTTATTTTATTTTATTTTTATTTTCGTTGTGCTAATTTTGAATTTAAATGCATTGATTTTTAATATTAAAAAATAAAATAGTGGAGAAAGAGAAAGCGCAGCTGGAACTTGGAATTATATTTTAAAATGGAAAAATGAAAACGGAAAATGTGATAATTCCAGAGAAGAATTTGTGCATAGTCAAATTTTGGGTGCAATTTGGATATTACGTTATTTTTAAAAAATTGTTTCCACAATATGAAAATGTAAAATGTGTTGATTTTGAAAACATATATACGTAAATTTGTCTGTGAATGAATATAAAATAAATATATATGAAAAAAATATTTTCCAGAAAAGAGTAAGATAAGAAAGCGTAAAAAATATTAATTTTGGAAAAAATTATTTCAAGAGACTGATAAATGAATATAAGATAAAATTTTAATGACTAAAGTATGTAATCCATAAATAATAAAATATTGGTTGATAATATAAACATATGGATAAATAAATAAATCAATAGTATTTTTTTATTGTAAAATGTATGATGTGTATGTTTTATTTTTTATTGTGCCATTGTAATTATAGATTAAAAAATGAAATGAGATGAAAAATAAATTTTTGATGAAAAAAAAAATGTATTTTTAATTTTTTCATAGACAAAATTTCATTAATTAAAAAAAGAAAAAACCTTGTCCATTGATAGAGTTTGATTACGAAATTTCTACTGTGGTTGGATAAAAAAATAAAATAAAATGATAATAAAATTAAATAAATGTGCTAAGTAGTTGAGGGCGTTCAACTAACAACGGAGTTTTGTTTTTGAATTTTACTGGAGAAAATAAAATGAGCGGGAATAACAGCGGCATCAACTGCTCCAATGTCTGATAAAGGCATATAATAATAAATTGTCCGCATATAATTTCATTTCATTTCATTTACCAGCCAAGAAAAATAAGGCAAGCTTTGCAGCAAGTAATCGCTTGATCGGCAAATAGCATACACGCGCTGACACGATTTGACAACATTCATGATTTTTTTTCGAGTACATTCATTAACCGAAATACATAATTACAATCAGTTAATTAGCTAAAATAGAAGGACTACTCAAGGCAGTCTAAATACCACAACACACACTACAAGACGAAGAGTAAAGAAAATAAAAGCTCTCAACAAAAGAATAACACAAGCTCCCAGCAGAAGAATAACATGTTTCTCCAAGATAGGAGAAAACAAAACACAACCCACAAGGCAACAAAACCCACAAAACACCCACAAGCAAAACTAAACTAACAACACATAAAAACAACAAAAACTATAACAACATCAACACCAACCCTTCCCGCAACGAAAGTCTAACCAATTGAACCAGCAACGAAAACAAACGACATCCACTTGCACGGATGGGGACGGACCCCAGAAACCCAACCCAGAAACTACTAGAAAACGCCTAACTAGGTCCGGCACCACGGACACAACCCCAATCCAAATGCACATCCCCCCACTCCCGGAGGCTTCCCCCACACCCAACACCCATAACCAGCAACCGGCGACAAAACACCGGCCAAGGTCCACGATGCCGACAAGCCCCTCCGCCCAACACTAGAACGCAGGCGACCACAGCAAAAGGCGAAACCAACCGCTCCAAAAGCCCCAAATCATAGTTGATGAAATCGTAACCCTCTCCGGAAGAAAAGCCGGAGAATCGCCCAAGCGAAAAATCTCAGGAATCGGCCGTCAGCCACACCTTCCAAGCGCCATCATCAAGGCGAAACCGGAACAGAGACAAGTTGTACCATCTCCCGGGGGAAGAAGCCCACCTCTAGGCGGCGATTCTTCAGAAGAGAGGGACGCGAGGCCTAGGGGCGTCACCACCGGACGGTCGAAAAGATCCGCCGGAGAAGGCGCCTAGATCTAGATCCGAGTACTCTGTTTTTGAAAAGGGAGGAGGAAGGGTTTTTTAAGCAAAATTGTGACTTTTCACCTTCCATGATTCAAAAGGATCAATTTCAGTGATTTCACATAGTTTTTATTTAAAAAAAAATATTTATAATTGATATGTCTAATTCAAAAAGATAAATAGTATATCCATGGATCAATGATCCAAATTATCTTACAAACAAACTAATTTTCAAGTAAGATTGGATCCATAAAATGGAAGAAACATAATTATCTACTGAAGCAGGGCGGACGCAGACATTTAAAAGTAGGGGGACACAACACAATATAACTCTCCTCCGCCGTCACAGTGAGCTTGGCTTTTCCTTGGATATTTCTTTCATCGGAAACACTCGTACATTTTCATTTATAATATTTCTTCGTAAATAATATAACAAATAATAATAACATGAGGTTATAACTTAGAAATGAGTGACAAGAATAAATTAAGAGCTAATTTTAAATTATTATTACAATTATAAAGAAACCTAAAACAAATAATACATAAAAAAATGCGCAACAAATAAGAAATAACATTTAAGAAGCTACTTTATCAAAATCATGAAAGCTATAAATTAAAAATTACATAAATTTTGAAAATTCCCAAATACAAATTGAGAGTATTAAAAATTAGAAAACAATTAAATAAAGTATACCTTTTGAAATAAAATTTGATAGCCAACTAAGGAAGTATAAGTTAAAACCACTTTGATTATTGAAAATTTTCTTTTATTTTTTTTTTCCTGTAATTGCACCCAAATTGTGTAGTTTGAGTGCGAGAGAAAATAAAAAAGAGAAATGCGAACAGACTACAGAGACAGAATATGAGATAAGTTCCAGGTTTGGGTAGAAGTGGGAAGTTAAAACAAGAAAAGTTGATAAATACTGAAATAAGAAATTGAAAGTGAGTATGTTGTAATAAGTTTCAGATTTGACTGAGATAAGAAATTGACATATACTCAATTGGCATGTTGTATATGACCCACAAGAAAAGTTAAAACAATTAATATATATATATATATATATATATATATATGTGAGTATATTTGTTGATGTCAAAAATCGGACGATCAACTGTTGAAAATGAATCAAATCTATTTGTATGTAAAGTCAAGAACAAGATCTAGAAATGAGGTGTTTTATTTGTTTTTAGAGAGAAGATTTTTCTCTCTTTGTTGTTGAGGGAGGAAAAAAATGAGGAGAAGTCATCCAACCACACCTTGTCTCTCCTCATTTGTACATATATATACCATTTTCCCTTTTGCAAGTGGGCAGTTCAATAAGTAAAAAATGGTACATCATTATTTAATATGAGATAATCCTCATGGGGCCCGCTTATGACTTTTGACGGTTCCAATCGACGATTATCTTTTAGATAATTGCCGCGTTTACCAACGGCGGATTTTTCCTGATACATGGACCTGCTTGTACATTCGTTTATTACATATTTTTGACTCCTTGGTTGTCGGGCCGTATTTTATTATTTTATTTATTATTTAATTAATCGGAGCCAAATTGGGTATCAACAATATAATAATAAGAAAGAGTTCAAATGAGAACCAAGTCCTAGCGTGAAAACCGTGAAAATCGTTATTTTTAATTGTATGTAGTGCTATGATTGAGTGTGTTTTATTGCTATTTTTAACTAGGATGTATTTGATTAAAAATAGCAATAAAATTTTTATTAGCATTTGTGAAAATGATAACAACATGCAATATTAAAAATATCATCATACACAATTAAAAATAGCATCAAATATAGTTCTCACGGTTCTCACACCAGACCTAGTTTTTATTTGAACCAACCCCTATAATAATATACATATAATAATTGGTGGGAGTATGCATAATATATATATATATATATATATTGAAAGTTTTCCACCATAGGTGCACGTGCCCCTGCAGGCCCCCCTGTGGGTCCGCCCCTGTACTGAAGACAAGTCTAATTTTGACAGATATTAGACAACATAAATACATAATAAGGAACAATGTTTAAACTTTAATATATGTCCTTTGGATTGACTGTCAGTCATTGATCGGTAAAAGTGCACACACAAAAAAACTAAAAAATGGAAATATCGAATTGTAACAGAGTAATATCAGAAAATACTAAAAAAATATATGTCAATGTACAAAAAAATAAAAAATAAAAAATAAAACAAAGAGAACTTAATCACTAACTTATTAAACTAAAATATAAAGTCTTTGTTTTTATTTTATTGAGAAGTTAGGCTTGCTAAACATAGTTATTATTTTCTTATTTGTTATTAAAATTTATGTATAATATAGTATTTGTTATTCTGATAATGCCGTTGATATTACAATTGAAACCATAATACCATGTATTGATGGATAAGCCAATAAAACAACATGTGACATTAAGACACTATCAATGGTATTAGAACCGAGGAAAGATGGTGCAGTCCCACCAGGTGAAGCGCACCATAAGAGAGTGAGAGGTTTCATCCCAAAACCAATTAGTGATTGGAGGAGTCACTGAGCTCATTTACCTTATATAATTAATGTGCGACAACTCATAAAGATGCCTATTAGAACTGATTTTAGACTATATTTATTTTCCATCTATTCACTTATATTTTTCCCAATGTTACGGCAGCATACTTCCGTTGTGGATACCTAAAAGTCATCGAGCAACAACTAAAACTAATTGTTGTAGTTCTTTTTACGGATTCAATTCGAAAGAATCAATCTCGGGTTGTATCGCAAGGAAAGTTAGACAAATTATTTTGCACGTTTATTCAAGTACAAGAAAGATAAATTAATCCATAAACACTTTAATTCAAATGGTTTTGATTTCAAATATCATTTAAATATTCAACGTAATCCGAACTCAGCTTTCAACTTTTAAACAAATTACCAATACTGATAAAAAAGTTAGTGAGTCGGCGATAATTGTTATTAATTCCAAACGTAAGTACCAAACAATTGATCGTTAAGTTAAATTATTATATTAACCTACATGTTCTGAGAATTAACCTCAATATTTTTTCTAAGAGGATAAACATAGACGACAAATCAACCAAATCAGACAACACGTAAACAATACAGTTATAAACAAACCTACTCTATATGAACCTATGTCGAATAATTCATCCCCTTTCGGTTCTAAAAGTTGTTTAATTGAATTAAAAGGTGATCAATCATCCAACCTTAAGAATAATATAACTCACATAGAATGAACGATTCACAAAAACACGATAAACAACAGAACATAAACAATCATTCCTTATATTTAGCGAATGAATTTGGCTAGTCATATCGAAATTAATACAAAATAGACCATAACTTAAAATATGCCTTATAAACTACGTCTAGAATAGAAAACGATATAAAAATAATCAGTGCTCTTTAAAATCTTTAAAATGATCATAAATATCTAATATATTTATGTATACTGCATGCCTTGTCGTGTTTTATCGAAGTAACTTAAAATTCATCTAAATTAAATGAGAAATCATAAAGAACTGACACATATGATCTCAGAGCATGCGATACTCGACTCTATTCAAAAATTATATAGAGGGAATATATTTTAGCCTACAAAGTTTTGAAAGCCTTGAGGTTCGAGCGTGGCGGTAGCCATTTTTCCTTTCGGTAGCAATTTCCCAAAATCATTGAGATAAGGCGGATAAATTAATTAATTTAAGATAGAATGACAGTGATGGTAAAAGGTGAGATATAATTATGAGCTGCATATTGAAAATGTTGGAGGACAAGCTTCCCCCAACTAACATTTACCTAATTACAAAATAAACATAGAAATTGATGAATGTGTTGAGTAAAACAAAGTAGGAGTAACATGGATGGATAATAAGGTCCATGTTTCTCATAAATTTTTGTTTTTGTTTTTTTTTTTTATTTTCAGATGGCACGAACTAATGTGGTTGGAATTTATAATGGACATATCTTTTCATGCTGTCTAAGTAAGTCTAACTATAAAACCCATTTAATTGTGATATTTTGATTACTTGTCCAATCATACTTCATTGTGACATTTTGATTACATTTATTTATTTTGATTACACTCGGGCATTATCCTTTTGGAATATTTTTTTATTGTTGTTTAGTTGTGTTTTAGTGGTTTTTTTAGTGTAGTTGCGAGTTTTCTTTTCTAGCATTGCTAGCAGGTTTTAGGCGATCTCCGGATCCGCTCTCCCAATCTTTTGGGCCTTGGTTTTACTTTCAGCTATTGGCTGCTCTCTTTTCGCACATTGTGCAGTTTTTGTTATATNTGACCAAAAAAAAAAAAGAAGGCTATGAAATTAAAGAAACAAAAATGTCTCTCACAACTTTCTCATTGGGAAAGTTACTGTTGAAGATGCATGCTCGACACTTATATTTTTCAACAAATATACACATTTTATGCTAAAATGCATTCTCTAAAAATTAACATAAATAAAATACGTTATTTCATAATATAAGAATGCAATTTTTTTCGGTAACTAAAGCATTACAAATTGTCACGTTTATATAAAAAATAACATTCCCTTTCCAATGATCGGTGACAATTACAAATCTAGAGTTCATAAAAACCGATGATAGTTATTTTGCCGAGATAAAATTAATGAGGCAATTTACCCTTTGCGGCTTTGTCTAATAAGTTTAAATAAACATATTATTATTATTATAATCTACTAGTTTTATCCTGTGCATTTGCACAAAAAATAATATAATATAAGAGAAAGTAATAAAAAATATATATTAAAATAAAAATTATAACTTAATAAATGAGAAAAAATAATTTTAAAAAATAAATCTAAATATTATTAAATACTTCTTTATATACAATATTTGTGGCTTTCCTATCGTCAGAATTCCATCACAATAAATCATTATCGTTAAACTCTTTCGACTCGTGATTCTAGGATTTGATTTTTCAAAATATTTGATGTATCTTTGTAATATCCAAAAAATATTTTTTTTTATTATTATATGTCTGCAATAGAAAATAGAGATATTTGTAGTCATTATTAATTAGTTGTGAAATATATATTTATATAATACCAAAAAATATATAGTATGAAAATAAAAATAAAAATATTTTGTATTTCATGACATAAAAAGAAGTTACATAAATGGCCACATCCAAAATGAGACGTGTCAAAATAAATGTGTAACTGAAACTTACATATTTTTATTAAATGGTTAACATGTTTTTATTAAATGAACATGTATTTTTATTAAATGAACTCATATTATTATTAATTGCAGGTTGAATAAAATTTATTGAAACTTGTCAGCAATTATATACATGTAGATATCATACTCTATAAAACGAGTCAAATAAATATATTGCTTTATTAAAAATATTTTGGGACTGGTCCTAAAACTCCATGATTGTTGGATATGGGCCATCTTGAAAGCTATGTGAGTTTATGAACCTTGCATATATGGCTAATCTGTTAAGAGGGCATTTTATTGTGGCAGACCATTCATGATTCATGGGATTGGTAAAAAAGAAAGGACAGAAATTCGCTGGCACTTTTCTCATTCCACGTGGTTTTAAAAGTTTCTTATGTGTTTACAGTCTCTGAATATATGAAAATCATCATTGATTTAGGCATTTGAATGTGTTTTTATTTACTAATTTTATTACTTAAATTACTACATATGTATTTAAATTTATTAATAAATTAAATACCAATGCAAGATGATTTATAGGGTGTATTCATTTGTGATTTCTATAAATTTTTTAAATTCTTTTAAGACTTTTATAAGTCTCGGGGTATTAATTTGAGATTTTAAAAAATCTTACAAAATTTGAAGTATTTAACTTATTTGATAGTATGATTTGTTAAGATTTTTTAAGGTTTGTTTGGATTAAAAAAAAATATAATATGAAATTTCACTTTAAATCTCAAGTCCAAATTTAAATTTTCATAAAATTCCTTCAAAATCAAAATCTAAAAATTTTAAAATATATGAAATCTAAAATAATCTAAAAATATCACTGAAAATTCTAAATGAATATAATCCTCTTAACTATCGATCCAAAAATATACCATAGAACCCATGACTTGACCCGTTCACGAGTCAATTACTCTCAAAATCTAATGCGCTTTCCACGTTAACGCGCTTTTGTTTATCACAAAGAAATCGCGTATTGATTGGTTACATTCACGTGGCTCATAAAAGTGGCTCTCGAATATTCGTTATCTGTTAGAGGAGCAAAATGGCGGCCTCAGTTTACAGCAGCACAAGCTCCCTGCTTATCCACCTGCCTATCTCCCAACAAACCCATGGTAATTATTTCGTCATATAAATTAATTTACTTGCAACATTTCAGTTGATTTCATGTAGAATCAATAGCCGCAGTTTATTCTCATTTGTGGAAATATTTCTAAGAATTTACCCGATTTCTGATTGATATATCAGTGGCCACAGTTTATGTTCCTGTGTCGAAGTATTTGGAAGAATTTAGCTGATTTTTGCTTGATATATCAAATTGTCTTATATGAATTTGTAGAAGTGGACTGATTGATCTCGAATTTTTTGATGTGTATAATAGGTGACGATTTTGTTTCAAAAAGGTTAACTTTGAAACCTGCTATATCAAATGCACATAATAAATCGACACAAAAAATCGCTTCAAACCCGAGAGCTGTTAAAGCCAAAATGGAGGTTGAACTTGAAAGAGAAGGGCGATTTTATGTCGGTATGGATTTTGGCACATCGGGCGCACGGTATGCTTTGATCGATAGGAGCGGAGTTATACGTGCCGAGGGAAAGAGAGAGTACCCTTTGTGTATGGTACAATTTTTTTTGTTAATTGGATGGTTATTTGGCTTTGAATAACATTTTCTGTGTTTTTAAATGTAGCTGATAAGCTAGCTTATAGCTATTAAGTGAATTTTGAACTTAGCTGATAGTTTATGACTTATGGCTGAAAAGTTAGCTTATATGATAAAAGTGTTTGACAACTGAAATAAAAATTTCAATGAACTTATTTAAAAAGCTACCATTGGAAGCTTATGAGATAAGTTCGAGTTTTTTAAAAAATCTCGTCTACCAAACCAAGCTTACTCGAATACATGAAGCTTATAAGCTAATCAAATAATCTATAAGCTTTTAAATGCCTACCAAACACAACCGTTGTATAATGAATCACGAGCTTGTTTGTGTCGTCTAGAAAGAATGAAGAAAGAGTGGATTGGATAAAGTCTTGGAGAACGACACTTTTCGACCTCTTGGAAGATATCCCGGTTAGTTACCGCCTGGCAATCGCGTCCGTTTCCATTGATGGCACATCTGCAACAACAATTATTGTCGATAGGTTGAGCTTGCATTTCTATAATCATTGTTGCCTGTTTTTCATCTGCTATCTTACTATCTTTATAAAAATGTCCGAGGTTCAATTGCATTACAAAAAGTGCAGTTAATGTTCCTAAATTGCAAATACCACCTTGGACAGTAACTGATATAAACTTATGTATATGTATATAATCTTCTTCGTTGTAAATATCTTGATATCAATTTTTTTTTCTTTAAGGAAAATTTACATATTTACTCTTTTTTATGCAGCAAAACTGGTGAATCTTTGTGTGAGCCTTTCCTCTACAACCAGGCTTGTCCAGAGGCTTTGCCGATTGTTAAGGAAATCGCTCCCCATAACCACACGGTTTGCTCCGGATCTTCTACACTGTGTAAACTCGTTTCGTGGTGGAGTTCATGTGATGCCCCTAATTTTTCGGCCGTATTATTGCATCAAGCTGATTGGCTGTTGTGGCTTCTTCATGGAAAGCTCGGAATCTCTGATTACAATAATGCTTTGAAAGTATAGTTTGTTTTCAGTATTCATGTCAATATGTTTCTTCTCTTTATTTGCTCACTTATTTAAGGTGTGATTGGACATGAATTTGATTTGGTTTTGATTGTTTTTTTTTTTTTTTTGAGTATGGTTAGTTGTTAGTGAGATTTTGAGTTTATATTAAAATAATATTTAAAATAAAATAATTAAAATTGATTTGATGTAAAAGTACAAAATAGATGATGTGAAGTGATGGTCAGCTAAAATTATGTGAGTGGATGTATAGTGAAATAAAGTTGATGTAACGTGTAAGAATGATTGATTAGTATTATTTAACTATATGGATAATATTGAGGATAATGGGGTTGAGTTAAAGTTAAAGTTAAATATGAAGTTTCGATTGGATTTTTTTGAAATGAATTTATATCTCAATTGCTCAGGACCTGTCGTACTAAATTTGATAGGTTGGTTATGATCCAGAAATCGAGTCTTATCCTAAGTGGCTACTCTCTCAGCCGTACTCCAGAGTTTTACCTCTTGTGCAAGCTCCTGGGACAACCATTGGCACTATGATGGAGAATATCCGAGCCCATTATGGTAAATTCAGGACTATAGTTAACTTTCGAAAATCACGTTATTGGGAGGTTTGGTCTCAAAAGAAGCTCATGAAAATCCATGTTTTTGTCGGTAGTTTATCGATATTTTAGATTAATTTTTATGTCGGAAGGGGAAAGGAAAAGATCTAGAGCATTGCTATTCAATTTTTTCCGCATGTGTTATTTCCAGTATTGAAGTTCCATTTTAATTTTTTGGTCTCTTGATGAGAATTTATTTTCTTATTAGGCTTTCCAAAGGATTGTGTTATCTGCACAGGAACAACTGATAGTATAGCCGCCTTTCTTGCAGCACGTGCCAATGAACCTGGAAAAGCTGTAAGAATGTAGCGAATATATTTTGCACCGTACGATACTAGAAATTTTTTACCTTATTGCTTAAGCTGGGGAAATCCGAAATCATAATAACGTGTTCATATCAACATTGTTGATACAGTCCTTGTCTCGAATTGTTTTCATTGACACTAATATCTAGGGTTGTAACGAACCCAACGTTGCCGAACAAAAGCTCGTTCATGTTCGACAAAAGAGCTCATTCATTTGATATCTAGGCTCGTTTAATAATCGAACGAACACGAGCTCGTTCTTCGCAACATTATTTAATATAATTTATTTTATTTTTTACATATTTATATGATATTTTTAATAAAATATTTAAAATATAAAAATATTTTTATTTTGTTTTATTTTTTTTAATTTTCGAGTTCGAACGAACAATATATTTAAAAAAGTTTATGTCCTAAATTATTCGAACACCAACAAACTCAAACGAACGAGTTCGGACACGATTTTTTTTTTGAAAAATAAACGAACGAACACGAACTCGAAACGCCCAAGCTCGACTCGTTTCGATTCGACTACAACACTACTGAAATCTTTGATTTTCAACGTGTGTTATAAAACCGATCAAATAAATGATTATAATTTACTAAAAAAATATTGTTCGTACTGGGCACAATCAATGTCAATATCAGGTTACTTCTTTGGGTTCAACACTCGCGATTAAGCTACTAAGCACGAGCAGAGTAGACGATGCACGTTTTGGCGTTTACAGCCACAGACTTGACGATAAATGGCTTGTGGGAGGGGCTTCGAACACAGGAGGAGCTGTTCTCAGGCAGATCTTTACTGATGATCAGCTCGTGAAACTAAGCCAGCAGATAAACTCAGAAAAACCTTCTCCTTTGGATTATTATCCCCTAGTGAATACTGGGGAAAGATTCCCTGTGGCGAATCCGAAAATGGAACCAAGGTAATTGTGTGTTATGATTAATGTGCAACTAAATCATATAACACAAGATTGATGGCACTTTCTGGCAACTAAATTTAATTGATTCACCTTAAATCATAAGGCATCGGATTAATAAATCAAGACAATATTACCTCAAACTACTTTTTTTTCCCCCTCTTTTTTGTAATATATGAAGAGTTTTCAAACGAGAACACCCGTTGGATTAGTGAAACTGTTAACTGTAGTTGTAATCCTTAGTGATAGGAGCATGTGGACCACTTTAAAATTATCGTATATTTAAAAAGACAAAACAAATATGAGAATAAAAGAGGTAACATAAAAGATTTTCCTTTAGCTTTATATATTTTTTCAACAAGAGTATTGTGTAAAAATGATTCCATTTCTAAATGCACGCTGGATGTTTTTCTTTTCTGAATATTAAGAAAATCGCAATCGCAATTCGGAATTCGGTTGCATTGCAACAGTACTCTACTCTATTTTTTCTAAAGAATTACTCATCTGTTTAAATCTTCATTCCAGGTTGCAACCTCGTCCAGAAAGCGACGTTGAGTACTTACATGGTATTCTAGAGTCCATCGCTCGAATTGAGGTATAGAAACACACACACACACACACACACACACACACATGAATGCACAATTTTTGCTCTTTCTGTTTATTATTTTTAGTCCCTTGATTTTATAGCCAAATACCAATTGCAGAGATGAAATAATGAATAATAGCCATTTTGCCCCAATTACCCTTACTACCAAAAATTGGATTTTTGGAAACAGTTTTTTACTCAACACGTGTTTTTACCACTATTTAGTGATATTACCACTATTTATTTACTCAACACGTGTTTTTACCAATGCCATTAAAAACAAAAAAAGAAAAAAACTGACATTGTTATATGCATGTCAAATTCAGGCAAAAGGATACAACTTGTTAAAGGAACTGGGAGCCAAGCCACCAGTAGATGAAATCTTTACTGCTGGTGGTGGGTCGAAAAACGAGAAATGGATCGAAATACGAGAGAGAGTCCTTGGCCTGCCCGTTCGCAAGGCTCTTCAAACCGAGGCTGCTTATGGTGCTGCATTGTTGGCCATGAAAGGGGCTTCCTTATAACAATGTGTTATTGTTGTTACCTGTGGTGACGACTAATCGGCTTTTGAAATAAAGAGCTGAAAGTCGAAATGAACTGATACACATGTCTTTGATACATTTTGTTGCACTGGATTTTAATCCATAAAATGTGACTTGTTGAGAAAGTTAGCTCACCAGCAGCAAATTGGAATGGTAAAAGTGAGCTGCGATTTGATATATGTCTATTTGGTACTTTGGCTTCTCATGGCTGTTTTTTTTGTGAAACTTGTTCATTCATCTTTGAATTTGAAGAAGGTATTCATAGAACTCCCTTGTTCTGGCGTTCTATTAAAAATGTAACTAAACCATTTTTTTTTTTTTTATGTGGAAAATTCTTGGTCATTTTAAAAACATTTTCGTTTATTTTTTATTTCTACCTCGTGGACCTTCACAATTTGAAATTGTAAAAGTATTTCAGTGTCTCTTTCTTTTTATCCCCTCGGCCCTCGCATGTATATTCTCGTGATTTTTGCGCAATTAGAGCTACAGAAATACATATGTGAAAAGAAATAAATTGTGCCACAGAAAATAAAAAATATTAAAATAAAAGATAACTTGAGGGGTGTTCCGAGAATCGAACTCGGGACCTCTCGCACCCGAAGCGAGAATCATACCACTAGACCAAACACCCGGCTGATGGTTATTGTCATATTAAGTTTTAATAACGTTATGCATAGAGTAAAAATGTAAAATAAATAACCAGTCGGATATGAAAGTTTTGGAAGAAATTCAAAAAATGGCTACACTAGTGGGACTGTCCTCGCCTCACCTGCTACTGCACCGTATTATCCTCCGCCGCCCAACCCTGCCGCTCGTCGCCCTAACCCACCGTCCCTTCCCTCACTGCAAAACGACGCCGTTCTACATCTCTTTCCGCTTCTCCACGTCCTCCCCTTCCCCTCTGTGCTCCCTCTCCCAACTTGCCAACGACGTCGTTTTACAACCCGAGAACGCGAACACCGAATCGAGTCGAGGATCTGATGCGACTGAGAGTCCGAGGAATTTAATGATTGGGGTTAATGAAACCCCGCCGCCTAGCCTCACCGTGAAGGAGAAGAAGGATCTGGCTTCGTATGCCCAGAGCTTGGGGAAAAAGCTAAAGTCACAGCAGGTTGGGAAATCCGGCGTCACGGACAATGTTGTCACGGCTTTGGTTGATACACTGGAAGCCAACGAACTTCTCAAGGTATTTGTTCTTATTGTCTCTGTTAATTTATATTTTACTTTCTTTTTCTTTATGTCTTTCTGAATTCTGGGTTCCGTTCTAAGTAGTTATTATACCATTATCAATTTGCTTTGGACAATTTGCTCAATGTTTGTAGTGATGAGACTGATTTTGAGATTTGTACAGCTGAAAATACATGGCTCGTGTCCAGGGGATTTGGAAGATGTAGTGAAGCAGGTAGAGGAAACTACTGGCTCATTGGTGGTCGGCCAAATTGGCAGAACCGTGATTCTCTATCGGCCGAGCATCACCAAGCTAAAAGCAGAAGAGAAAAAGAAACAGGCTCAAAGAATTTATTTGAAAAGGCAGTCGAATTTGAAGCGATTCGCTCAGGTTTGATTTTTTGATAAACCCTTATTAGATTTCTTCCTTGTGGAATGTGGGATTTGATGTTTTCTGTTTATGTTGAGATATTGTGGTAGTTTTTTTGATAATTTCTTGTTTCAATGGAAGCTTGGACCTATGAACTTGTCAGGCACATTTTAAGTCGTAAAGACAAGTTGATCACCCGTGCAAACGCTCGATTGTGTTCGAAATGACAAACTTTCCCTTAAGATGTGTTTTACGTAAAAAAAATATCACCTTTCCTGAGGAAGACCTGCAAATTAAGGAGAAAAAAATATAAAATTGCCAAGGGGTATCTAAAATTTGTTAACACCACCTAATTTGTTTTTCAATAAATTAGGCAAAAACCTAGGGATAGATTTTGTAACTATACCTTCAATTTCTGTTGTTCAACTTGGATTTGTGCAGAGTAAAAAAACATCATCACCTTTTCGGCAAGAACAAAGTCGAAGTGGTCGTGGGCGTAGAGGGAGTAGCAGATTTTCAGCTCCCAATTGATGTTGTGTATTCATTGACCAGCATATTAAAGCTTGCTCTGTTACCTGTCTATGGTTTTTGTCTACCAAAACATCTGCATTTGCCAGTTTCAATTTGATAAATGTTTTTATGGTTTTATTTTTTCCTCTGAGGTGATGAGTGTTATGATAAACGAGTAAAAGAGTGCCATTGTAGGAAGGATTTGGATCTTGATGCGGAGCAATTCTAATTAGCTATAGATAATTGCCATTGTAAGTTGTTTTTAAATGAAGCACTAGCCTTGATGAAACATTTTGAGGAAATGACTCCACTTATCAGTATTATTTATGTTTTTTACACAACTGAACTTTTAACTTTTTCTTTCCCAACATACGAAATTGAGAGGCAACCGTTCGTACCACTTCTCAAGGGAAGTTAGCAAATTGTTGAAATAAATAATTATTTAAGGGGAAAAAATCCAACTGAATTATATTAAACATTTACTCAAATCGAGTAAATAGTTAATCGGACATGAAAGTTGGTTTTTTAAACCCAAAAGTCCTGTTGGAGATTAAAACAGGGCATTGCACATGTTAACCATAGAAGAAAAATAAGCATAATCTTAAATGTAATTAACTTATTAAATCACCAAGTAATGGTACATGCTAACACACATCAGTTTGCTCAGTCAAATATATCCCATCAAGATGCTTGTTGTCATTCATAGGTAATTCATTATATTTCCAATGAAATAAAACGTGAATTTTGCATATGTTAACTTATAACCACCTCATCAATCTAAAAATCAGTAAATGAAAATTGGTTCTCAACTTTAATGTAAATTCTGAAACGGTTGTCTTTGGATTACAAGGAATTATTTCGTTTCTGGTTTGTTTGATGAATGGAGGTTTTCATTTTTTGTTTCTTTTTGTAATGGATACAACAAGTGAAAGTGCCTCTTGGGAGTTTTTTAACTTCCCCGATTTTTTAACTTCCNAATGGATATGAACAAGTTAGTGCCTGTTGGGAGTTTGTTAATTTCCACGACTTCTCGTATCTTTTTTCCTTTAATTTGGTTAAGCACGTAATGTTAGAAGAATTTTACTGGTAATTTAAAATAAGAAGAAAACACTAGTAACTATCTCGTTTTAGTGTAAATTACCCAAAGATTTTGCTGCATTAATTTTTTGAACAGTAAATTTTGGCATTAGTAAAACAAGTGTGCATTTTAGACTGGCGTACACAAGAATTTGTGTTTCATGATAAAAATATAATATGAACTCTGTAGAATGATCTATACTCCTGGAGAATAATGTAGTAGCAAACGTTTGTGATTGATTATATGATGATCAAATTCCTATAACATTACAAGACTTTTGCTACTGAATACAACAACTAATAATGAATATTGAAAGAAACCAAATTCGATACAACAAATTGACAACAATTACTAGTACTGATAGCATCTCCAGTGCGGACTGTTGAGTCCAAAAAATATATACCACATAACACCGTCTTTATTTTTTTCTCTCCAATGGGTTCTGTCGTGGTTTAATTTTATCTGATGTGGCTTGACAGTAATGAAGGCCACTGTTTGAAATCAAGCAGTCTCTTTGACAGTATGACTCAGAATCCAGTACAAAAGAAAGTGTGCATTGTACGAAGTATTTGGATGTTGTTATTTACACTTGTCAACGTTGATATTAAAAAGGATAAATTATCCAATTATTTACATACACGTGGCATGAACATTGGACATTGACATCCCTACACTGGAGATGCTCTGACCTCGACCTTTGGCAACTATTTCGGCTTCAAAGACATCGAAATGCGTGACTTGTGCAGTGGCAAATTGAGGTGAAATCTATTATTATAAAAAAGAGGGAACCTAAATAATACATAAATATATATATAAAGAGGTTGTTGGAAAAATACATTAATAGAAAGTTTGACCAAATAAATATAATGTTTGACTTACTATTAATGGAAAATTTGAAAAAACACATGTAAATCTTTAGAAACAAAATCTGAATCCTATTTTTTGGCAAAATTTAAATCCCTTTTTTTTGTATCATATTTTATTTTTTTACCCAAAATTTAGATCATATCATTTTTGGTAACAAATTTAGAGATTCTTATGCAAAAATGTGTCAGTTATTTATGAAAACAATTCTAAATACACATCAATTTAATAACCGTGCAAATTGAATACAAATTTACGAAACAAATAGTTGTATAATTCTAACTAATTCTACCAATCTTAGTGAATAATTTTTTCTTTCAAAAAAAGTGTGTAAATTGTTTAAAATCACGTGCAATTTTTATTTTAAAACAAAACTGATATTTAGACGGGATGTACATTCAAAATTATGCCCACATTTTTTGGTAACAAAAGCGGTTCACCTTTTAAAATAATTAATTACACACCATATTTAGAAAGTTTTAGATATTTTAAATCATAAAATAGGGCAGCATTAAATGCCCTTAAAATTATGAATTTTGTTGAATTCATTTTTTAAAAATTTCGACAGATATTAAACTGAATATGAAATTCAAAATCTCTTCTCATTTTATTTTTAATAAAATCTGCATCCAAATTTACGTGTGGTTTTGAAGTGGAAATTTGAAATTCAAAATCTCTTCTCATCAAGAAAATCGAACTGCATTCAACACTTGGACCAATTTAAAAATTATTCCTTAAATGAAGGAATTTATAGATAATTGTTATCTCTACTCAATCACTTGATTATTTTCAATATAAAAAGAGACAGATCACAAATTAGTGAATCATATATTACCTAATTCAATATCTTAACATTAAGGAATAAATTCATAGTATTATGTAAATCCGTATCTCATATTATTATATCATTAAAATATATTATAGTTATATTATCAAATCTTTTAAAGATATTAAATCCATATTGTAAAAAATAATTCATATAATTTTATAACAATTCTACTACACTATTTAAAACTTTCTCTTATATCAAGGGATAAATTTATATGCTAAAATTAAATTTTTATTAATATAAATATTTTAGTGAGATAATATATTAATTACAAGCTAGCCTTAACATGCTCATATTTAATGTTCTTGCTAAAAAAACAACGCTGGTTAAAAGATGTGGAAAAAAACTTATAATAACCCTATTGTTTTTTAGACTTAACGTTGATTAAAAGAGATAGAAAATAGATAATAACCCTATTATTTTTTTAGACTTAAACGGACAAGGGTGTGAAAATAACTCATTTAATATCTCAGTCCCGTGCATCGCACGGGGTACGTACTAGTTATAAAAAAGAGGGAACCTAAATAATACATAAATAGTAACTAAAAAATAATTCGTATTCCCGCTAAAAAATATACTAGATATAGTAACTTTTTTTTTTGAAATTTTTCATTTGCCGGTTTAAGTGGATCCTTTGATTTTTTAAAAATTTTTCATTTCATGTGTCGGTTTAATTTTCCTATTTAAGTGGATGTTTTGATTTGAAAATTTTTTAGCTAATTTGATTGCTAAACTTGATATTCATCTTCCTGATTTTCATGGAGCCGATTTTGTGGACACTCCACATGATAGACATTAAGATTTTTTTAAAATTTCTTTTGAAATTTTTCATTTGCCAGTTTAAGTGGTTTCTTTGATTTTTTTTAAAATTTTCATTTCATGTGGCGTGTTAAAATACATAATATAATGATTGAGTGTACCTAAAATTCTCATGAAAGTGGATGCTTTGATTTGCCGGTTCAAATTTTTCTATTTAAGTGGATGCTTTGATTTGAATTTTTTTTACCTAAAATGAAAAAATCTCTTTTTGTTTTGGTTGTTAATGAGATAGATTTATATTCCTTATCCAATGGAATGTGAAAATATGGATTTTTACTCCTTATCAAAATGTTTGTATCAAGATGTTTGAATCATCCATTATTTAGTATGATATTTATTACATAACATACCCTTTTAAGTTTTATTGCATTCTATTCAAATTCATATATTTATTAAATATAATACTTTTTAAGTAAAAAAAAATTATGTGCATAATTTTTTTAATTCAAATTCACTTTGACATCACGATTTCATTTTAATTATTCATAAATAACGATGTGGTCAGTCGACTAAATCACATATATTTATTTCATCACATTTTTATAAAAATCTAATTTCATTCTGTTATATAATAAAAATATTGTGATATATGAAATGAGTGTGCTATTTATTTTATTTTATGTAGGTAACGTGACTCAATAATAACATAGAATAATTGAGTTGTTTTTTGACATGTTTTTCAAGAATAATTTAGAAAAATTTTGGTGAATCTTCACACATAATATAGAACATTTTAGGTACTTTTAGACATGATATATAACATTTTAGGTACTTTTAGTGTTTTAGATAGGCATGTTTTATATGTTTTTAGTCAAAATAATTTTCAATTAGCTTCAATTAATTAATAATGGTTAGCATTTGTTAATTTCCAATAAATTCATAATGTGCTTTAAACCACAGTCTTCAAACCCGGCCCGAGAATCGACCCGGACAGGTCTTCGGGTCACCGGTTCAACTGCCGGGTCATCGGGTCAATTATTGAACCGGATAATTAATATTAAAAATTTTAATATTATGTATAGAGTATTTTTTCATATAAATATACATAAAAATAACAAAATTAAATATTTTGTATATAAAGTTTATACATTAAAATATTTTTTTTTTCGAAACGATAGAAGCATTATATTAACCTAAAAGGGGAACACTGTTCGAATACAACAGAGACCAACAGTCTAATGAGCAAAAACTAAAGGAGCCGAAACTAAAAATGGGAGGACACGCTTACAAAGCGGCTTAGAGACACCAAATGAACAAAAAGAAGAAAGAAAGCACACCACTGCGCAAAGCCTAGCCTGCTTACCAACTTCAGCAAAGTGAAACTGAACAAAAACACAAAGCCTAGCCTGCTTACCAACTTCAACAAAGTGAAACTGAACAAAAACACAAACACCTAAAAAGACAGCAACTAATACAAATAACCAAAGCAGGGATCAAGACCTCACTGCTAAAAATTTCTGCCAATCCTTGAGAGCCCTGCTGATTAGCACTTGGACTGACATCTTCACCTTCTCAAACATCCAAAGATTTCTCATGATGTATCTCATGATACATCATAATAATATGTATCTCATGATAAATATTTACTATATAAATATATATACATAGTTTTATTTTTTTTAAAAAAATATTTTAAAAAATAGAAAAAAATAAAAAATTATATATAGGGGCTAGATCAACCGGGTTGACTCTACCGGGTCAATGCCCCGAGTTGAT